CTGTCTCAACCCAGATGTTTCGAAGAAGGGAACTTGCATTATTTTTAACATATTGTTTACCCAATACTATGTCAATTAATTCCATAATGTTGTATATTGATACTGTGGCCTCGTTGGGGCTTTTAACTGACTGGATCTTTACTCTGTTAGACCTATTTTCAGACCATAGAAGGTCTCCCCAAGAGGCCACTGAACTTATCTGGACAATAAGACGCTGAACTTTATGCTAGGCATGTGTCTGCAAGCAATGAATCTCAACCGAACTTGAACTATGGTTATGCAACAAGGTGGAGGAATCCACCATGGGGGGAGGGGTATGGGAGGGGTGGGGGGAATCCCCAGCGCCTATGAAACTGTACTACACAATACAATGTAAGCAACAATAATAAAAAAAAAAAAAAAAAAAAAAAAAAAAAAAGAGATGTATACACACACACACACACACACACACACACACACACGCTCTCCAGGAACACACCCCGCATGCCGTGCTTATGGAGAATTCGCACGGACTGTTGCCTTGGCTTGAACTGCTATCCCTCCAGGTTTCCTGACTATCCCTTCCCCAGCTCTCTGCAAGCCTCTACCCAAATGTCACCCTCTCATTTGAATAGTGTGTGATTCCAAGTCTTGCCAAATGTGCACTGAAATGTGAGGATAATCAAAATTTAACTAAGGATCCAGTTCAAAAAATAGTATTCAAGGAAGTGACACTGAATAACAAAACAAGAAAATATAAAGAAACCATTATAATTTATGGGTAAGTGTAAATTCTTATGGTCATGTAAATTATTTAAAATATTAATAATGTATAACTAAACTCCAAATTATTTTAAGATGAAACCAGTGTTGGGAAAGAACAAGATGATAACATTCTGGGGTTCTCTGTCTCTTATGACAGACAGCTAGACACCTGCACATTTAACTATGAGTTAAACTTTCAAGCTTACCCAATACGGGAATATAACATTATATAATGTTTAAATCTCTAAAAGTATAAAAGCTTACAAAAAAACGTATGTGGGGGGAGTTTTCTTCTTAAAAAAAGAAAAATGTGAAATGTTTAATAGCGATAATATGTCCAAACATGTTAATTATCACCATGATTGTGAGATCTTAATTCTCCCATTAAACAGCAATGATGATCAGATTTCTTAAAATGCTTTTTACTATTTTCAGTACACTTACAAAACATGATTAAAACAAACAGAAGTGTTTCTTAGAAATAACACATTTTTTCTTAAAAAATATTTTTCATGGTACAGTTCCACAGGCTCAGGGATTTTGTTACCACCTCCTCATTAACACACACACCCCATTTTCTCCTATATAATTACAGTAGTATAGGTCTCAAGCAACAGTAACAAATCCGTCATTCTGCCAATAAAGTATATAATGACATTGTAGATATGGATAGTGGTAGAAAGTCCAGCATGCTATTATCAAGATATATTTTTTGTCAACATATAACAAAATGATATAAAATAAGGCTTTGGGGCCAAAATAATGAATAGCAATAAGAGAAAATTTTCACATTATAAACAGAACGATCTATCAAGATAACAAAATCACACATTTTACACCCTTAGCCATAGAGTTGTTTGGAATGCAAGTAAATGTCTTTAGATCATGAATCCTACTGGAATGATGCAGTACACAGCTGGTCTACCTCAAGGACGAGCCTTCCCTTAGCTCTTGAGTTAGATCTGAACTGAAGGCAATGTCAAGGTAATCAATGATCAGTCAAAATTCCAGTGACAGGCAAAGGAGAATTTTCTTGAAAGTCTTTTTGAAAAATTTTTTACTCTTAAGGAAAATATCAACAACCAAAACTCACTTTCTCTCACAACCCTCAGGCTTTTCACACTCGGTGAAATTCCTCTTGTGCGATCAGATTATCTCCTCACTATGTAAAAAGAATTTCTGGGTTCTAAGAATACAACGTGTAAGGAAGACAAAACTCATTTCCTCTGAATCATTCTGTTTGAGGAGATAGAACTTTTAAAAACTTTGCTGGGAGGGAGGAGAGACTGCCCTAAATGTTTGCATACCTTATGGACACCAGTTAGTGTCTCAGCTGCAACACATCCAATCTAGCTCCCTGAAAATGACCTGGGAAAAGCAATGGAAATTGGCTCATGTGCTTGATCTGCTGCCACCCATTTAGGAAACATGGATATAGCTCTTGGCTGCTGGTTTCAGCCTGGCTCAGCCTGGCCATTTTAGCCATCTGGGGAGATAGTTTTTTTTCCTCTCTCTCTCCCTCTCTTTCTCTCTCTCTCTCTCTCTCTCTCTCTCTCTCTCTCTCTCCCTTTCTTTTCTATTCTCCCTGATTTTCAAATAAATAAATAAACCTTTTAAAAATAAAAAACATATAAAATATATGTAGCAGAGAAGAGAGACTGGAAGTACATCGGATAACTTAAAAATCATAGTCAGGGAAGTCCTCTCTGAAAAGAGAGCATTTGAGCAAATTCTTGGAGAAGGAGGATGAAGCCATGTTGACACAGCAGAGCAAACAATTCCAAGAATGGGGGAAAAGACACGTTTAAAACAGTGTGGAGACCATAGCATGCTTGGAAAGTTCAAGGGAGAACAAGATATCCTATGAATCAAAATGAGTTAAAGACATGAATAAGGTGCCATATGTGTGGGTCTTTCAGAACATTATAATGCTTTTGGTACTTCGCTCTGAGTGAAATAAGAAGCCATTGAGTGACTAGAGGGATGTCATGATCCTAGTTTCATTTAAGTAAGATAACTGTCATTGCTGCCTTGTTTGGATTATTGAGGGGCAATGAAAAGTTGGGAGTTTATTGCAGTAATTCATGGAGAGTTGACAATGACTTGGTATAAGACTGTGGCAGAGGAAATAGTAGAGAAAAGTTGAATGCTGAGTCTGAATTTTGGACATATTTTAAAGGTGATCCCACTTAGTAGATGGATAAAAATGGGGTATAAGAAAAATAGAAAAGTCAGGAAAGACTCCAGAGTTTTGAGTCTAAGTGACTCCTGAAGCCGGTTTGAAGCAATGAATAGGGATCTGGAATCCAGTTGTTAGGGGATTTAAAAGGAGCAGTCAGGAAGATAGGAGAAAATGCAGAAAGTGTGGTGTGCTGAAAACTAACAGAAGGAAGTGATTTGAGGAGCAGGAAGCCATCAATTGAACCAAATGCTGCCAGTAAGCCAGCACAACGTAATGGCTAAAATAAACCTGCTAAGTCATCCTGCCTGGTTCAAACCCACCCTTGCCATTGATTTCTTTTGGGACTCTGGAAATGTTATTACATTTCTCTGTATCTCTTTCTTCATGTGTAATTTGGGAATTGCAATGGCTTCTATGCTCTGTGAGTTTTGTGAAGTTTAAATGCCTGCATTTGTTTAATACTCCTAAGTTAATGAAAGGGAATAACATGTGCCTAATGAATGGCAGCTATGATTATTATCATCACTAATAATAGCAAATAACAGTGTAAGAAAAAAAGAAAAAAATGAGTTTGGACCATTGGACTGAGTAACCTGAAGGTCACTTATGATATGGACAAAAAGTAATTGAGTAATTTTAGTTCATTGACAACACATGTCTATTTGGAATGATTTCATGTTTAAGAGAGAGTGAGGAAAGTGGAACTGGAGACAATGACTATAAGAACTGTTATGAGAGTTTTTTCTTGAAAAAGAATGGCAAGTAGGGCAATAGTTGATAGCTACAGGTTATCTGAAGCCAACCTAAATCATTAAAATAACCCTTTTCATTCTATCAAAAAGTTAAATTGTGTTGATAATGTGCCTGTAGGAGAACTAAAACTTGCAAGTTTTGAAAAAAAAATCTATAAATGATCTTTTAGAGTTAGTCATTTATTGAACAATATAATGAAAGAGAAGTTTTAGAAATTACCACACATCTTGACCTTCTTGTTGCATACAACCTCTACATATTTTTCAAGGACTGCAAACAATTGAAAATGTGTGAACACCATTCCTTGCAGTTAAAAGCTGAATTGTGTATGAATGCAGCAGATACTTTCAGAAAGTTCACCCGCAATAGCACTTTTTATGCAATTAGAAATAACCTTGAATCTCTTATGCCTCAACTAAGTGCAAACCAGAGACAGCATAAGACCAAAATGTTAAGAGAAGAATTCTATTTTTTTTGTAAGCATTTACTTCTGGATTTTAGCGGCATTATTAAGTAGCAATAAATGACTCTACCCATCGTAACACCACACCAGTCCATCTGCATGTGAATTTCTCACAGCACATTCACAATGACATTTTTTTCACATCTATAAATAAATGGGAATTTTTGCCCAAAAGATGAGAACTGAAAGTATTAGCTCAGATTTTTAGAGCTCTTTCATAATTCTTTCATAATTCAAAACTATAACTAACAAGAATTGGAGAAATATTCCTACTATGGCCAGAGAATTTATACATCTCTTCTTAAAGAGCAATTATTATAAACTTGTTAAAACGCAATTACTAGAAACTTTCTCCAATAACATAGAAAGGACATTTAACTTGGCATAGATGGAGACTTGTAACATGCGTATGTATGGAAAGTAAAACTTGAGTCATGTAATTGTAAACATGTCCCTTTTGCCAAGTTCCTGAAAAACAAAACATTAGGGAAGAAGGCAAATGGTTAACCACAGACTTTTTTCCCTAAAAGTCCTCATAATTTGAATAGAAATCTTATTTCCAGAAGTCTACTCCAAAAAAATAATCAAAAGAAAAGAAAATACTAAACATTTAAATATGTTCATTACAGTTTTATCTGTAACTGTAGAAACAAAAAAACAAACCAAGATTTCCAAAAATAGGGGGTTCTTAAGTTGGAATCTATTCACTGAAAATAGCAATATGTAATCATTAAGTGCACAGTATAAAATGGTTATTGTACATATGTGCTTCATAAAATATTTTCATCTCAATCCAGTCAGCTGTGGTCGTATATATGCATATAGCTATGTGTATAATGCCTGCATCTAATCTTAGGAAGAAAAACAGTAAGTAGCATTTTTTATAAAATCTTGTCTTCAAAATAACTAATTCAATCTGTTTGCACCACATGATGCATTGATAAAGACTTATAGGCTCCTGGGGGTAATTATAGGTCACACCTAAGTAACAAGCCGTTAGGCTTTCTCATTCAGTCAGCTAGCTTCACGAAGCAGAGAAATTTACTTTATTGATTCTGGGTGCTTTGCTAGCCTCTTCAAGTCTTTTTGGAATCCTTTTTCAGGCGTTATGAAGTAGCTCTATATTCTAATGCACATCTTTGCTATAGAAACATGATTTTTCAGCTTTGCAACTCAAGGATGCATTCCATGTATGAATAGGAGTCTTTGTACCACAAGAGTAAAGTCATCAGCTTCTATGCTATGAAGAAGAAATGTTCATCTTCTAATGTGCATATATGTAAGCCACCTCTTTAAAATCAGCCCCCTTAAATGGCACTGAGTATGCTTCTGTGTATGACACATCAATGTCCATTAATTGCGCGAAGAGAGAGAACTGAGATTCCAATGGCAAAATCTGTAAAAGTAGATATACAAAGAAAAGTGGAAGCATCTGTTTAATATATACGACATTAGAATTTAATTTTACCTCTGTGATGCTTTTGTGTGGCTGCAGTGTTACAGCAAAGCACATAAGCATAGCCGTGCAGTGTCAGCAGGTGCATGCCACCAAATTACTGCTTTTAATTTGCATATTCATCTGCTAAGAAGCATGTCATTATCATATCAAAGGGATACTAAGCAACATCTAGCTTGGAGAGATGTGGCATAGTTTCAATAGGAGCAATTAATGCGAGATGAGGACTCTCTTTCTGTCATGTCTCCCAGGGCTAGCTGTAATCGGGCTGAGTATGGGATACCAATAAGACCGAGAGCCCAGTTGGCACAGAATGAGAGAAGAACTGGAAAGGGAGCCTGCCAATCCTCTCCAGTGTACACTTGGTGGCAACGTGGTGCCCTGGGAACTCAGAAGAATTCTATTTGTATTATAGGTGCTGTCCGTATGCACCCATCTGTTTCAATACTTTTAAAATGACTAAATTCTGTCCCAAAGAAGTCATATTTTTAAAAAAAGATATTTGACTTAAAATAGTATGTAAAATAAACATGAAAGAGGTTTAAAATTTAATTTGCAAATGTAATTTTCACTACTTCAGTAAATTTTATTTGAACAAACATTGTTTTGCTGTTGCAAGAATTTATTGAATATCTGCACAAATCAGATAGTATCAGCCCGGGAGATGGCAGACATGAACTAAATGCAGAGCTCAAACTCAACAAACCTCCAGTTGATCAGGGGAGACTGGCATGTAAACCAAACAAAACTTCAGCATTTTGTTTTATGCTGTTCATAAACTTAGGCGAGGTCACAAACACACAAGGTCATCTTTTGCACATGTCTGGTGTCTGATATCACCTCTCTCAAAGAAGGTCTGTAAGAACAAGATTTTTCATTTTAGTTTAGATTTGGGAACTGTCTCACTTTTCTTCCTTTAATGATAGTGGTTATAAAACAATGTGCAACTTAAATATTTGAGAAAGGGAAATGTAGACCACTTTTTGATTATTCTATTGTTTCTCAACCTTTCATTAGATGCATACTTTCAGGTAGGAAACTTTTGTAAAGCAATAACTATTAATATGTTGCTTCTTGCTCAGTCTAGGGTGGGACGTTACACACACACACACATAGAGACTTTCATGCATTTATTCAACACATTTTTAACTGCATATTTAAGAGTCCATTTTAAAATTTTTATTTTTCATGATACAGTTCCATAGGTTCAGGGATTTCCCACAATTCTCGCCCTCCATTCCCTCTACGCTGTTTCCTCTCACATTATTATAATATTAAAATCCTCCAACAATAGTCACAAGTCCACTGTTTTGTTATTTAGGTGTATTATGACATTGTAGGTATAGACAATGGTAGAAAGCCTAGCATCCTTTTATCAACATGTATTTAAACCTTCTTTGGGAGTCCTCCTTTTATCTTTAATATTAAGCCTCTGTAAGCACTAAGGATATTACTGTGAGCAAACTGAACCACACCCCAGCACTTGCATTTACTCTCATACATGCTTCACAATTCCTCAACAGTACAGGCAAGGACTGTGTGTGAGAGCATGCACCAAGCACACGCACAATGGAAAGTTCAATTGAACTCCTTCACCAAGGGCCTTATGTACACTAGATCAGGTCATCTGGTTCTCCTTGCAATCCACAAGTCAGCAATGAGTACCAAAACAATTTCCTATTGGTCAAAGACATAAAACTGAATGGCTTACATGAAGCAAAGCCATGTGTCCAAAGATGATCCAGTTGGAAAGTAGCTGGATAAGATTAAACTCCAAGTTTTGTTATGCCAAATACATGTTGCATTCACATGTTCTTTATAGCACAGATTTAATATTTCAATATAATCTAATCTAGCTTGGGGTCATGAAAATCAATACCACAAGTAACTGAGATGATTTAGTTCATCATTTTCTAGAGGAAAAATACTTATCTGGTGTACTCTTTCACCTTAATATGTGGGAGTTAAGGACGAAATGACATATACGGTAACAACACTATTGATGTGTTCTTCAAATGAGAGTGCTGAAAAGCCATGTTTGGAGCATGTTGCAAACCATCTGCCAGTTGTACTGTAATGGAGTTTATTTTATAATTTTTTATGAGATTTTTTTTTGGACAGTCAGATATACAGAAAGGTGGAGACAGAGAGGAAGATCTTCCATCCACCGATTCACTCCCCAAGTGGTAGCAATGGACAGAGCTGAGCCAATGCCAGGAGCCTCTTCCAGGTCTCCCACACATGTGCAGAGTCCCAAAGCTTTGACCTGTCCTCAATTACTTTCCTGGGCCACAAGCAGGGAGGATGGGAAGTGAGGCTGCTGGGATTAGAACCAGAGCCCATATGGGATCCAGGCAAGTGTGAAGCAAGGACTTCAGCCACTAGACTATCGCACCAGACTCTATTTTTTGTTTTAAAATTCAGTACTGTGACCTCATTCTTATTTTTATTTGACAGTGTACTTTGCTATGTGGAATGTTTTGAACTGAGAAAGTTAAACATTTCTAGAACAGATTGAATTTTGTGCAACCACTTTCCCCTTAAATTAGCAGAAATTTTTTTAAAAATGAAAAACAGCTTTAAAATGACCAAAACTATTCCTTCATTTATTTTGTGACTCTAGTTAATCTTGGCATCAAGTTAAAAAACAGATTGTTAAACTTATCATATTTAATTAAACCTATGCTGAGAGTTATTGCTTTGAGTACAGCCCAAAACCCTGACTTTAAAGCCTGGTTGTCCATGGAAGATACTTAGCTGGTAATGGTGTCAATATTTTCATCTGTAAAATGATAAATTCTTTTAAATTATTTTATCTGTGTAAGATGGGAACAAGTTGCAGCCATTTCTTATGTACAGATTTTGAAGCACAGTGATTCTTCCCACCTTACTCTCCCTCCTCCCTATACTCCCACTCATCCTCCTATTTCTTTTTTATTTTTTAAAAAATGTTTCTGATGACACACTTTCAATTTATTTATTTATTTTTAAAGATTGATTTATTTTTGTATTGGAAAGGCAGATCAGATTTGTGGAGAGAAGATATGGAAAGATTCTCAATCCACAGGTTCACTCCCCAAGTGGTCGCAACAGCGGAGCTGGACCAATCCGAAGCCAGGAACCAGGAGCTTCTTTGGGGTCTCCCATGCAAGTGCAGGGTCCCAAAGCTTTGGGCCATCCTTGACTGCTTTACCAGGTCAGAAGCAGGGAGCTGGATGGGAAATAGGGCAGCTAGGACACAAACTAGCACTCATATGGGATCCTAGTGCTGGTAAGGCGAGGATTTAGCCTTTGAGCCATAACCCTCAGTTTGTTTTGTAATCACGGGCTTACCCCACCATTAGGTAAGGAATTCAACAAATAGTGTGAAAAAAACTGTTCATTAAGGATATAGATAATTACTGTAAACAACAATCAAATGTATGTGAGCATATGACAATTTTGCTCATATAAATTCCTTTTCTGTACTCTGTGTATTAGTTATCACAAATCAAGGAAAACATAACATTTGCCTTTTGCGGACTGGCTTATTTCACAGATTTGCAGTTGGAAACATTAAAGAAGCATAATCGTTTCCATTTACATTCATTTTATGGCAAAGAACAAGACTGCATTTTTTTAAAGGCTGAGGAGTTCTTCATAGTGTATATATGACACATTTTCTTGACCCATGTGCCAGTTGAGGGACAGCTAGGTTGATACCATATCTGACTCATCATGATTCAGCTGCAATAAACATGGGAGCGCAGATAACTCGTTCATATATTGACTCATTTCATTTGGATAAATTCTCAAGAGTGGGATGGCTGGATAATGGTAAATACATTTTCAGATTTAATGGTTGTACTAATTTACATTCCCACCAACAGAGCATTAGTGTACTTTTTTTCGCATGTCTTCACCAGAATTTGTTTTTTAATTTGCATGTGATAGCCCTTCAAACTGATGTGAGGTAAAATCATGATCATAATATGTATGCCTGAGCATTTTTTGAGGAGTCTGTTGGCCATTTGTATTTCATCCTTTGAAGAATGGCTGTTCATGTCCTTTGCCCATATCTTAACTGGGTTATTTTGTTGTTACTGAGTTTCTTCAGCTCTTTGTGGATTCTAGATATTAACCAGTTGCATAGTTTGCAGATGTTTCCTCCTATTCTATCAGTTGCCTCTTCAGTTTATTGATCGTTGGTTTTATAGAAACTTCTTAGTTTGATGCAATCACATTTGCCTATTTTTGCTTTTGTGGTCTGTGCTTCTAGGATCTTTTCTAAGATATCTTTGTCTTTATCAGTGTCTTTATAACACTCCTCCAGTGTTTTCCTCTAGAAATTTTATTGTGCCTGGTGCTAGTTTTAGATCCTTGACCCATCTTGAGTTGATTTTTGTATAAGGTGTAAGATTTCATACTTTTGCACA